AGTGCACTTTTGACGTCATCGGTTGATTAATCGCAAAATTCTTCCGAAATTGGTCATCAGTAGCTGATTATGGTGAATTATGCTTGTGCTTTTAGTCAATCAGAATCGGGGAAATATTTTGAATGAACAGTAATACATGTTAAAGGTTTTTACTTACGTGTCCTCTGGATTTTACTGCCACTCACGTTCACTAAGGTTTATATGATATTTAAATAACCGTATATCGTACATGTATATCACAGACATTATTTTCACGGTTTTTCCTGTAAGTTCCTCACACGAAACGTACGCAAAGCACAGCGAGGAGCAACTGAAGCGTTTGGACCTTCGGTCGTTGTCGCCCAGCGCACTCACTAATCTTTGGTTATTCCTAGTATGATAAGATACCCGAGCTTTATTCACAGGAAACTATAATTCCATTGGTGTTTTTAATTATGAGGTGTTGATCCATGAAGAATAGAGAGTCGCCTTTAAAAGAAATGAATAATATGGTTGGCTGTGAGCCTTGCTGACACTCACTTACGCTTACTTGAGATCTAGTATTAAGACTAAAATTCAGTTTGGTATACAAATTAAGAAGCTTTTTTTATCTAGTGTAACACTCAGCAATTTCTTCTCCCAATCTCGCTTATGCTTCTCAAAATCAAGCCAACACTTTTTGCTTTTCAACGCCCTTGGCATTACGAGCCGCAAGGTCGAATTTCGTGCACGCACCAGGGATCCTTAATTTCCATGGAGATACCCACAAACTGGACTCAAGTAACTACAAGGCATTAGTCTTGACACATTTCCTTGCGCACCTCAGGTGTGCACATTAATCGCTTTCTGTCAGTTCATCTGTCAATAAACTCATTTTAGGACAGGACACAAATTTGTGAAAGGTTTGAACCCAGGAGTCATTTCAAAAGTAGGTTGAGTTTGATCGTCCGGGTGAACGTAGTCCTGAATAGGAGTGTTGTTGTTGACAGTGACTGACGTTTCGACAACCTGTGCGGTAGTCATCTTTAGAGTCAAAGTGAGTTGTATCACGTCAGTTGATGGTATCATACTCTGCTTATTGATCTGATTGGTCAATTACGTCGCGATATTATTGGTCGTCTGTCAGTTAAGCCGTGATGTTATTGGCTATGAAGACTCGTAATCAGTAACTGGTGCGTTTCGATCCGTCTATCTATCCGTCTAACTATTGTCACAGTTAAACAGTCGTCTATTGTTAGTCAAATTGTCATTCTCTCGTAGTTAGTTTTGCTTAATCTCGTCAATAAGTCGTTTATACGGTGCTGGTAACTGTTGGCTACGATTCAGTGGCGTTTGTTCTAAGTTAGTAAACCAGCTTTCTAAAGTAGTTCTACAGAAAGCTGGTTTACTAACTTAGAACAAACGCCATTACAATCTTATTCTAAGAAAACTTTGAGAATAAATGTCCCGAAAAGCGCTCGAAAATACAAACGAAATTTGCTCATGCCGCCCGGGCATCCTATAATACTCCTTAAATCGAATTAATTCAATATGGCCGCCGTATCGGTAACAAGGTCTATTGTGAAATACTGCATTCTGTCCGTTGTCTGTATGATAAAAACTGTGCCTCATAGTACTGTTTTATCTCAGACGTGATGTTTTTAAACGTCACATCTGATAAATGGTGAAAAGGTCGGTTTACACGCACCCAGATTTGTTGACAAGATTTTGTAAAGTAAACTTGTGGAACTCCAAAAATTCGGCCTGATTTTTTTTTTCCAGGCCTAATTAATCTACGGTGATCAAGAGCCATTATGGTGATCGAAGATGATTGCTATTTTGGGGTTGTATATGAGGCTCTCTTGGGCTATCATGGGCTGTTTGCAAATTATTTTTCTCTAAAATCACTTAGCCTTTCCCTCAAAAGTCACATGAATGTGCTCTAAAGTTTTAACTGAATTGTGAAATACAAGTTTATTGTTTGATTTAAATTATAAATTTATTACTGGGAGCGTCGCTTTTAGCCCTGGCTAAATCTATATATTATGTTTATAGAATTATGTAATTTAGGCATTGAAATTTTTTCCTGTATTCTGTTGCAACGGATGGCAAGGATGGACATGGATTGAAAGCTTAAACAGTTAAAACCAACATTTTAAATTTTCAAGCTCTGCCTACAAAAATCGCCAAAAGATATTATGGTTAGTGCTCCCTGATAAAATTTGTGTGGAATCTTCTTCTTATATCTAACTGAGCATTTTGTGAGGCATTAAGTAATGATCTCAGCCAAGTATCTTCGTGACGAAGTCCCTCTTAGTGATTTTCTTTGCTTGATAAATGATCGGATGTCATCTTATACGCGCGGCATCCTCTGCCAAACTTTTTACTAATAAAGTGATACGCCGTAAACAGGATCAAAAACAAGGCCAGTCCAGACGTTAAAATCGCAATCGCAGGAATCCTCTTGTCAGCTGACTTGCTGTTACCATGGCCGGTTGTTGCTACTTCTGTATCTGATGTTGCTATTCCAAAGAAATTAGAAATCCAGACTCAGTTAAAAGTGGGTATTAAACAAATGAGCGAATGTTTGGAGGATGCTCGATATACCAAGGCAATATGCACAATTGTCTCGTTCTATTGTGTGAAGTCTATTGTGTAATTGTGAAAGGGATAAGGATCATTGTTGTGTTCTTTGTGACGTAACTCGAGACTTGCTATTCGCTAAGTATATCGTGCACCAGCCGAATGTTTATCAGTACCGAACCTTAATCTATCTAGCTAGTATGCGCAAAAAACGGAACTAAACTTCTAACAAGGGTTAGATTATTTACCAGTCAATTCCAAAACCTCCCACTCCCCGGGCATACCCCGGGTATTTTTCCGTACAGTGGGAAATTTGACCCAAAATGAGGCCCGCCCTGTCGGGCATTGACTTTCGTGTCAAAATGCTGGTCAGCGTTTCGTTCAGCGTGTACATCACGTTCAAGGATTATTGACGTCAT